GATTCTCCTTTTTGTAGTATTAAGATTATGATAAATTCTGATTTCTTATAAAACTTAATGAATTTATTATGATTTTTAATACTAAACTTATAATAAATTATGATTTAGTATAAAAYTTAATRAATTTATTCTGATTTTTTATATTAAATGTAGAATATGATTTATTATAAAATTTAATAAACATTTTCTCATTTTAATAAATATTTTAAAAAAAAATACTAACTAGTTAATATTTTATTACCTGAAAAATATTTTATGTTTTATATTATAAAGTAATTAATTTATTCTTTTGTTTTTATATTTTGTTAATTCTTTTTTTATTTTATTTGAAATATTAAATAGAAAGTATTAATGGAATAATTTATATTAATATATTGTATTATGATAATATAATATACTAATATATTATATTATTAATGTACATTAGTCGACATCCTGTCGAAATTATCGACACCATGTCGACATAATAGGAAAAACTGTCTTTTTTTGGTTATTTGGACCAATTTGGTCGACATTTCCAAAATATAGGAAATGTCGACCGAAATAATGTAATTTTTATATTACCATCCATTTTCATGTCGGTGAGCCTCAACATCGACATATGTCGGGCGACATTTGAAACCATGCTCTTCATTGAATACTTTAAGAGAAAATCAATCAAAAAGCCCCTTAGTATTGCCCTAGCTACTCTTTATATAGACTTACACCCTTATGCCTCCTACAAAGAAGTTTCCTAATCTAATAAAACACTCATTATAATCCTACTAAATCTCTTCAAAAAAGAAAGACCTAATTGAATACAAATTTGAAATCCCATGATAACGCTAAGTCGCTAACTTCGTAATTACGAACTAAGATGGAAATTGGCGCTAATTTGGTAAACATGAACTAAGATAGAAATACCGTGACGATGCTATCTCAGTAAATATTTACTAAGTTAGATCGGTGGCATCATCTCTGCTTCTTACATGTCTTGTAGTGGTCCCAACTTGCATAGAACTTATTAGCTTCCTTCTATGCTGCATCATCCTCCCCCTGTGTACTAGCTACTAAGGTGGGTCTTCGAAAACCAACTTTGTAAATGTTTACTTAACTTGTCTAAATCTCGTACTGCATCAGATCTGTAAGCCAGTCCTATTATCAATTTGGAAAGATTTGAATGGGAAAAAAGTTACAATTGTGAAAGACCAGATCAGTACATGTTTTCCCCTCTCCTCTCTCAAATCTCCTCTTCTTTTTTTGTATACAATCTTCTTGCTCAAGCTCATATTATGCTCTCTTTTTTTATTGGTAACAAAAGCTTTTATTGATTGTGGATAAAGAATCAACAGCAGTGTTTGACCAACCTAAAATATTAAGCCATCTTGAAGCCACCTAACAGTCCAAACCCAACTTTTAATTTACATTATAAGTTTCCTCAAAACAATTGAGGCAACTTTATAATGTAAATTAAAAGTTCAGTTAGGTGGCTCAAACAATTCTCTAGCAAATCTCACGATTTATTTCCTCTCAATTTCAGTGTCTCTGTTAAAGATTGCTAGGAAATTAGAGAAGATCATGAGGGATTTTTTATGGGAACCAGGAGTTGAGAAGAAGGATCACTTGGTTAATTGGGAATATATTAGTAGACCAAAGGAGAAGGGGGGCCTTGTGTTAGGTAATTAGGTTCAAAAGAATCTAGCTCTCCTAGGAAAATGGTTGTGCAGATTTCCACTTGAAAGCGAAAGGCTCTAGCACAGGTTTATTAAAAGCATACATGGGCAATTGAATTGTGGCTAGGATGCAAAGGTAGCCTCTAATGCAACTTCAACCTCTCCTTGGAAAGCAATCTACGAGGTATATCCCATCTTCCTCAATCTCATTCAATATGATGTGGGAAACAGACTAAAAAGTCTTGTTTTGGGAGGATATTTGGTTGGGGGACAATCCTCTCAAAGTCCAATATCCCTTGCTCTATGCACTCTCCATTTACAAACTTGAATCTATCTCAAAATTTGTGGCTTTCTCTGAATCGGGTTTAAGTTGGGACTTTGGCTTTAGAAGAGGGCTTAGGGATTCAAAATGCGAATCTCTTACACTTTATTGTCTAGACTTTAGACAGTTTATTTGGATCAAAATTTGGAGGACAATAGGGTGTGGTCAATATCCCTAGTTGGATCTTTCAGTTGTGCTTCTTCTTTCAATTTCTTAACATAACCTACTGCCTTGGGGGTGAATTTCCTAGTGAAAGAAATTTGGAGCAAGCCTATCCGTCTTAAAATTCAGGCCCTTTGTTGGGAGATCCTTCTTGGAAAGATAAACACTTGTGATCTGCTACAGAAAATAAGGCCAAATAAATGCCCATCCCCTCACATGTGTTCTCTCTGCTTGATAGAGGTGAAACAATTTCCCATATTTTAATTTCCAATTCCTGTGTACATTGTATCTAGGAGCAGCTTTGTTTTCTATTTGGCTGCAGATGGACTCCTCTACAGGATGTAACGGGCCTTTTTGATCCTCTTTTCTTGAGACAACCAACAAAAAGAGGAAGATTACATTGGAAAGCAATAAGAACAGCTATGGTTTGGGCTACTTAGGAAGAAAGAAATGGAAGAATTTTCAATGAAAAAAGTAGGACTCAAGCAGAAATCTTTGATTTAGTCAAACTAAAAGATGCTCAGTAGGTGAAAACATTGGATTACTTCAAAGTCTTTTCACTAAATGATATTTTGAGAACCTGGAAAGAGGTGGCACTATCAGCTCAACACAAGGCAAGGATAGTGATGGAGTGGAAGCCCCCAGCCCCTGACTTCATAAAACTCAACTTTGATGGAAGCTTTATTAGCAACAAGGGATAGGCTGGGTAGGGGCTGTTTTCTGAGATAATAGAAGGTAGAGTGGTGGCCTTGTATTCAGGACCCTTGGAGCATGGTGATGCATTGACAGCAGAACTAGTCAGTCTACTACAGGGGTTAAGGCTTGCGAAACAATTGAGCTTCCACAATCTAGAGGTGGAAGGTTATTCCCAAGTAATCACCTCATAGACCAGGAACAGTTCCCAGATTCCTTGGGTATTCCAGTATAAATTCAGGGAGATTGTAAGCCTAACAAAGGAGCTAAATGTTGCCTTCATGTGGGTGAGAAGAACAGAAAATGGAATGGCTTACACTTTGGCCAAAGAAGGAGCTGTGAGGCAGCAAATGTTTTGGGTAAATCTGTAATCTTTTGTTGTTTTGGGGTGGAATTTACACCCAAGCTCTTGTAACTCCTAAGTTTTCATCAATAAATTTCTTTTCCTGCTGATCAAAAAAAAAAGGTTGCCTCAAAACAATTGCTCCCTTTTACCCCACTTTGCCAGTACAGCAGCCACTCCTTTCTTGATCATTCTTTCCTCTTTTTAGCCCTTACCATTGCACTCTAAATTTCTGCACATAGCAGTTTACTTTTTATAACTTGAAACTGTTTAAACTCTCATTGGTTTCCTCTTTTCTCACCCAAGCAGAAATCTAGACTCTTTTACCTAATAAATCAGCCCACCACAATCTGTTTTTAAAAGGACCCCCATACCCATGCTACATTACAGCTCTTCTTATGCATACACAGATCATCTGACATGTTTATGTCTACCAATTGGGATCATTTACTTTTAATTGTTTTGATGTTTTCCGTTATAATTTTGAGCCTTTCATATCAGTCTTATCATCAACCCATAGGCCTGCTTTAGTCCCTTTAATGAGTGCTTTTATTTCTGCCACCTAACTAGAGACACTAATGTAATTTATCAATTAGTTTATAATAGTTAATATAGAAGATAATGGGAACACACCTGGTTCCCACGATTGGAGTGTTCTCCCATTCCTTCTCCCCCTTCTCTTCTCTTCTTTCACTAGTTTCTTGCTGATTTTACCCCCATTAACTACCTATCTACCTGTTCTTGTTCTTTATTATTTCTGATTGATGAAATCAATTACAAGTACATAAACATTTAATGTGTCATATAAAGTAACTCAAACAACAAGAAAGTTAAACAGCATATTAGACAGCAAATAGAGTAGCAAGACAATGCTTCACATAAAATACATTAAATCCTACCTCATTGCATTACCTCAAGAACAAAGTATTCAGGAAAATCATGAAAGTCATTCGGCCTGGCAGGAAAAGAAACCAAGAACTAATGTTGTAAATTACCAACTTAAAATAGAAACAATAGCTGCTGGTTAGTTTGCCAAACTTCAAATTAAATAAGTAAAGAAAAAACCTAGGGAGCCCGATATTTGGATCAAATCTTCGGCTTTTGTAAAATTTAACTAAATGGAGTAAACCAGCCCAATCAGTCTCCTGTTAAATGAAACAGCTCAATGAATTGCATATTCAGATCAGACAAGGAAAAAAAAAAAAAGTAAACCAGGAGACAAATATGTAGTGCTGTTTCAAATAAATGGTATACTATCCAGGCATTCACATTCCAAAATGGATTTTAATCCAATGTTATAGTACTGTTTAGTCCCTAAGTTGTTAGCAACACAAACAGGATACAAGGGAAAGGAAACCTTAATTGGCATTTACAATAAAATCAAATTTAAATTGGTTGTTCAGATTTTTTACAAGTAATGAATTGCATTAAGGCCCCGTTCGTTTGTCGGTATCTCATGGAGGGTAAGTTGGTCAACCGGGTAATTTACCAACTACCCCGCGCTCTTAGCCACTATAATGGGTCCCATGGTAAGTGAATAACCGGGTAATTTACCACCCTCCTGAAGTGTGGGTAAGTTGCTTACCCGCTCACCGAAAATGCTAATCCCCTCCTGCTTGTCTCTTTACCCAGATAAGTGAAAACATAGAAGAATGCTGGTACCAAAGTTACTCAGGCAACTTTAGACTAGGAAACACTTGCCCAGGTAAGCATGTTACCCGAGTACCAAAAAACGAACGAAGCCTAAAGGGGAGACCCACCAAATTGGTTGTACAAATACCTTTAAATGATTTCCTTTAAAGTTCAAAAGAAATTCATACAAAAGGAAAACAAATGCAAATTCAAATTCAATGAATACTATACCTTTTCTTAAAATATATATATATATATATATATATAAATTCAAATTCAACTAAAGAGACAAATTGCAATTTCTGTATCATTTTTCACCTGAGAATTATAACACAGCCCATATTGACCAATTTGGTAATGGAAGAGTTCAAAACAATTGATCAGTAAAGGATCACTCCAAGCAGTTCTTTTCTTATCAATGACAGAACCAAATTCATTAATATAATAAAAACAAGGCAGTGCAAGGAAAAAAAAGGGAGAGATAAACTCTCTTAGCTCTCCCAAAACAGAAAAAATATTACAATATTGCCCACAGAAAATGATTTCTTCCCATCCCTTGTTTAGCCAAACTGCCAGAAAAGGAATTAGCATCTCTTTTCACCGATTGTAGGGTGACCACCATGTCTTGTAACAAGCTTCTAATTCTCCTCTTCTCATAGATGTAGCCCCACCAACCAACATCCTCCTCTTTTTGCAGCCAATTAATAACCAACTTGGAATCACCTTCAATCACCAACTTGCAGATAAGCAGTTCCTTAGCCTTTTTCGCTCCTTCCAACACAGCCATTATTTCAGCCCTCAAACTCAAAGAGTCACCCTCCCCAATTGGACCTGAAAAAAGAGCAAGAAATCTTCCTTCCTCATCCCTAAATACTCCTCCTATACCTTAAGGACCCGGATTTCCTTCACTACCTCCATCTAAATTCAGTTTTATGAACCCTCGATTAGGTGGGCACCAAGAAGGCATAATCACAGCCTTAAAGGAAGAAGAGCAAGCAATTTCAAGCCACTTCCTCATCTGGTCACCAGCAGAAAATTCTTCAAAGAGGCTTCACCCATTGTACCACTCTAATAGTAATAATTTCAATTAATGCACCCTTGGTTCTTTCAATTCCTGAGAAGATTCTTTGATTCCTTTCTTCCCAAATCATCCAACACACAGCTGCCCTTGTGCACCTCCAAAGGGTTCTCCCCCTCTTCTTTGGCCAGCAAAGAAAGGTGGGGGTTCCACTTCTGTCCAAACAAAGAGAAAAACCATTCCCAAATTGAAGAGGATAAGGGGCAGGAGATTAATAACTGAAATCAAAATCTCACCCTCAACTTTGCAGGGAGAAGACCAATGTGGCGATAATGACCAATTAGGTCTCTTTTTCTAGAGCAAGTCACAAGTATTAATTCTTTCTAGGTACAATTCCAGTAAAAACCTCCTACTCTGGATGAAATAGGTTTACTCCACACATCTTTAACCAGAAAAGATAATCCAAGGCTATCACCCGGCTATATTAAAAACCTAAAGAATGAAACACATGTGAAAGAACCGGAGGAAGATAGAGTCCATACTCGACTATCCCTTTTTGAAGGATCCAAGACCACTCTCTCAAGACTTTGGACCAAAGATGAAACAATACTTATTTCCAACTCACGGAGACCTCTTCTAAAACCCAAATCCCATACAAGACCAAACCTAGAGTTGGAGTAATCCAAGAAAGATAAAATGTGTTCACCCCTATAGTTTGACAAGGCAAATAAAGATGGGAATTGTTCATTTAGGGGTGATTGCCCAATCAAGCATGTTCCCATAATTTGACACGATTCCCAAGGCTAAGATTATACCAGATAAAAGGAAAGAAGGATGAAAGAATGGCATGAATGGATTTCCAAAGAGAAGCTCTTGTTGCCCTAGTCTAAACTCTAGAATCCCAACCTTCAACGACAAGTCCATGAATGCTAATGATCACCTTTGCCCACAATGTCTATCATTTAGCAATCTCCACAACCATTTTCCCAAAAAAGTAATGTTTCTTTCCTAAATATTCCCAATACCTAGGCCACCACACTCCTTACTCCTAATGACCACCTCCCAACTAACCCTATGATCCTTTTTCTCCTCCCATGGTTCCCATACAAAGTCCCCCATCAACTTTTCTAGTCTTTTGTTAACCCCTTGTGGAATCCTAAACACTAACATGAAATAGACTGGAAGATTGGACAAAGTGGATCTAATCAAGGTAATCCTTCCTCCCAAGGATAAATAATTACTTCTCCAAGAAGTCAATTTCTTAGTAAACCTTTCTACTACTGGATTCCAAAAGTTGTTATCTCTTGGATTATCCCCCAAAGGTAAGCCCAAATCACTCAAAGGACACTAAGAAACCACACAGCCTAAAACTTTTGTTCCTTCTATTATTTCCCTCTCTTCCATATTCAAGCCCACAATGACTCTTTTCAAATTGGGCATCTTCTGAAATACTTGTACAACCTGCTTTAAATTCCTAAATCAACAAATTCCAAGTGGGTAATTGATACTTCATCCCTACCTACTCTCCACCCCCATACCAAACCTCTAGAATCAGCTCTCATATTTAGTCTCCCAAGTACATCAACAATTAAAGTAAAAAGGAAAAGTTGTTGATCAAACTGATTGGTCTTAATACTTTAAGATGAATAGCATCATTTTGTTTGGGAATCAAAGCAATGAAGGCTGAATTAAGCCATGGATTTATCAGATCCCTCTCAAAAAGCAATCTTTCAAGATTTTCTAGCAATCCTGGTAAAAAGCCATTGTAAAACCAATCAGCCTAGATGCTTTAGATCTGTCCATAGAAAAAATTGCCTCCTTTATTTCCTCAACTTCAAACTCTCTTTCCAACCAAAGTTTACATTCATCCAATAGGGCATCCCAATCCAACCCATCAAGCCAAACCCTTTCATTCAGCGGCCTTCTAAAGACAGACTTAAGGTGAGCCACAAAGGCATGAGCAATTTCATTTTGTTGGGTAATAATAACTCAGTCCACCTCTAACTTAGAGATAACATTTTTCCTTCTCCTTCCATTTGCCATGGCATGAAAAAATTTTGTATTCCTATCACCCTCTTTGAGCTAATTCATTCTAGACTTCTATCTCCAACTAATTTCTTATTTTAGCAAAAGGTCCTCCAATTGAGCAGTTCTTTCACATGTATTTGGTCAAAGACGACACTACACGGATCAGGAAGGAAACGAACTTTCTATGCAACCTTGAATAGAAATATAGATATCTGATTTCCACATTGAAGCACCTATTCCACTAGGTGATATCTGCTAATTTCATTGAAATCTCTTGCTGGAGAGGGAATTGCAAGGGATGACTCCGGAATCCTCATTTACTGGGTTGGAGTGTTTGGTGTACATTCTTTGGGGGTAACTAACCCTGGCCACCTATTTCTGATCTGTAACTTTTTTATAGGCATTTTTTATCTGTAACTTGGGGCCTCATATATACCACCATAACTATGTTCTTATCTAGTGTACTTTCATTGTTCACCACTAAACAATATATTCAACTGAACATTAGGCTGAAACATCACCTAACCCCATGGACAATGCTTAAACCCCACTAAAATCCAATATTAATGTGAACTGATCATTCCAGTATTAATATGAGCTGATTATAACATAGCTCAGAACAAACTCTCTGGTAGCCCCTTGTTTGGCCAACGCATCAGCTAAGCCATTTGCTGATATTTTCACCCATCTAAAATACATCACCAAATCCCGTTCTTGCCAATTCATTTCTTTAATCCCATTCCTGTGATGCCACATTGCTTTACTGTTGTCTCACAGCTAGCTCACCACCACCTTTGAATCCTTCAACCACAATATTCCTCCACTCCATTTGCTTTGCCAATCTTAACCCATGTAAACTTCTAACATTTCTGCTGTAATAGAATTTCCTGTACAAAGGGGCCTGAAAATATTGCCATAATCACTCCTTTCCTACCTCAGAAAACTCCCCCCACCCCAGATGATCCAGGGCTACCCATACTACTCCCATCAAAGTTTAATTTTATGAGATCAATTTGAGGTGGCTCCCATGATAATTGTCGTTTAGTGTAATTTTCTTGTTGTCAAGTAAAGAAAAAAGAAAACAAAACTTCTTTGATGCAAAGTCATCAACTAATCTGCAAAATTCTATGATGAACAGTAAAACGTAGCTCAGCTTTGCATGGCCCTTATTTCACACGATGTTCATGTTGTACTTCTTGAAGCTTGAAAACATGCTAGCATTTCTTTCTTTTCTTTTTTATTTAGTGAAAACATGGTCAGTGTTTGTTCTGTATAGTGCTTTTACATGGCCTTTTTTTGTCCAGGGGGTCCATGGATCCAATTTCTGTTGGCCGATATGGACCTAGTTGTACTTCTACGAACCTATTGTCTTTTTTCTTCCCACTTTTTCTGAACACTTTTCCTTGTATAAAAGAAATATCATATGTCCTGTAACAATTTTGTTATCATCAATAATCATGATTTCCCCATAATGGAATAACATCATGCATGATATATGAAACTTTATAGACTACCACTTTATTTCTTAGTTTACACCTCATCATGGTGTATGACCATGTGAATTATCACTGAATGCTAGAACCAAATGATGCACCCTTTTAGTAAAAGATGTAAATAAGAGTGTTGCATTTTGTACAGAAATGCAACATCATACAAGATAAAATTCATCATTTGTCTAAATTCTGTTAATATGTGAACAGGGGAAACAGTCCACCTGAAGGAATTTGGTTCTCTACATCCTTTCCATTGGCTATCTAAACCCCTTGATATGCTATAAGCATATAAAGATGCCTTTACATGTACATACAAATATACATATCAAACATTCAAACAGATTTACAAACCAATAATTCCACTACTTTTTCTACTCTACATCAACCAATATTTCTAACTTAGAAATTCAGAGTACCATGACTGGTTTAAATCAGCAGCTGCCATAATGGCAGAACAGTTCACAAGAATGCCTCTGGAAGAAACAGTGATCACCATTCAAATACATAAGAATACAAGATTATAAGGTATAAGTTTTCTAAATATACAAGTGCAAAGTATTAGAATAATACCTCAGATGCTGTATGAGCCAGTGCAAATGCTGCCTCGATCCGGACTCTCCAAAAGGCCTGTGTAGGTGTGGCAGGAAAATATAGACCAATCATATTTTATTTCATAGAAAGAATATCAAGTAAAGATGAGGACACTTAGATATCTAATAGAAGACCTTTGAGTCACTGAGGAAATTATTTAGAGCATTGACAACTGAAAAGGAAAGCTGTGGTAAGGCTTCCAGTGTTGCAATTGCATGTGCCTGAGCCACAACATCTTTGTCCTTCTCCAGCTGATTGATCTGATGCAAGCATTTCCACATGTTAAAATAACAATTAGCATATTTTCCTTTTGAAGATGAATAAAGAAAAAAATGTATTGCTAAAAAAACCAAGTACAACATAACTAGGTGACAAGATGTCACCCCCACCAGAATACAAGTGAGACAATACAGAAACCACACAAAAAAAAAAAAAAACAAAACTTTCAGGATCAAAACAGACATCAGAACTCCTTTTATGAATTCAGATAAGTTCAGAAATCAGCACCAAAGTCTTCTTTCTTCAGCCCATGAAACTCTGGCATAAACAGCACCCAACCAATAACTGTCGAACTGATGACAGCCAAGGGAATAAACAGCACCAAAGTCTTTTTTCTTTTCTCCTCAAAAATTCTTCTGTTTCTTTCCTTCCAGATCTCCCAACAAACAGCAAAGGGAATAGAGGTCCATAAAATCTTAGTTTTAACACCACCTTGGATTCTTGGCCAGCAACTAAAGATTCCAGCCGGATCTGACATAGAGCACCCATCCACCTTGAACAGCGCAAAGAAACAGGACCAGACGGGAGTTGTAACGCTGCATTGAAGCATTAGGTGAAGAACATCTTCCTTTCTTTTTTTATCAATAACAATAAGCTTTATTAATGATGTGAAACTTTAATTACAATAGGGGGAGGTAAAATGTCTTAACTCCCTACCAACAGAATAGAAGGGAAGAAAATTAGAAATTAGCACAAAATAAAGATTACCCATCGGCAATTGAGTTAGCATTTCTCTTCACCCAGCTGTACTTCACCTCAATGTCCCTACTCAGCCATTTGAATTTTTTCCTTTCATTTCTGTAGCTCCACAAACCACTGTTGTCTCCCTTTAGCCATCTAATCACCACCTCCGAGTCACCTTCAAGGACCAAACATCTGATGTTCAAATCTCTTGCTCTTTGGATTCGTTCCAGAACTGCAAGAATCTCAGCCTAAGAGAGTCACCTTCTCTAATTGGCCTTGAAAACATGGCAGAACATCGTCCTTTCCAGCAAAACACAGCAGACACCTACTTGGAAACCGAAAACCTCTGAGCTTTAAGTTGTCCTGAGTTAATATGCAACCTCTAGAAATCAGCCAAGCAAAGGCTTCAGCCCTTGGAAGCACTGGTTTCCCCCAAACACCCCTAACTGAATCAGCCTCCACCTGATTTCTGATCAGAGCCATATACATTGACTTGACTGTGAACTTTCCTTACACTCTTTCCATAATCTGATATCTGCATCTGAGGGATTGATTTCCAAGGCCTGAAGCTTTGCCAATAGCTCCAAACACTCCTCCACCTCCCAATCAAAAAGAGGTCTTATGAAATTTGGATTCCAAACCACAGCACCATTAATTACTTTAGAGCATTATGAAATAGGCACTTCCTTCTTGACCAGATTGTATAACCTTAACCTTGGGCAGATTTCACAGAATTTCCCAACCCCCGACCAATCATCTTCCAAAAACCTTATACTTGAACAACTCCTCACTTTCCATGTATAAGAAGGAACCATCAAAGAGTTACATCTCATGATCCCTTTCCATACACTAACTCCATACGAGTGTCTCACTTCCTTTGTATCCCACCCAAAGTTCACCACCCCATACTTACAAGCCACCACTCTCCTCCAAAGGGCCTCCCTTTCTCTCCCTAACCTCCAAACCCACTTCCCCAATAAAGCTTTGTTGAAGACTCCTACCCTTCTCACCCCTAACCCACCATCTTTTTTAGATCTGCACACCACCTCCCATTTAACAAAGTGAAACTTCTTTCTCTCAGCCTTAAAATTCCACAAAAATTCTCCGGCAGATTTGAAAGAACACTTTTTATCAAGGTTATTTTCCCCTCAAAGGATAGGAATTTTCCCTTCCAACCTGCCAATCTTTGACCAATTCTATCTAAAACAGGTTGCCAAGTAGATGCAAAAGCAGCTCTAGCCCCAGTTGGAAATCCAAGATAAGAAAAAAGGAAATTCCCCAATCAGAGACCCCATAGCCCCAGCACAATCTTCAAAACCAACTGCTGGATATCTCCCACCCCTATCATTACGCTCTTACTTAAATTAATCTTAAGACCAGACAGCAATTGGAAACACTTGAGAATACTTCTTAGAGATATTAAGGTGTCATCAGCATATTGCAAGTGAGAGATGATCAATTCTTCAATTCCAACCCTGAACCCAGAAATCAGCCCCACTTCCTTCCCTTTATCAATCAACTTGCTCAAAACTTCCACCACCAACACAAACAGCAATGGCGAGAGGGGATCCCCTTGCTTTAAACCCCTTGAAGAACCGAAGAAATCAGTTGAAACCCCATTTACCAAAACTTAAAAAGACATTGATGATATACAAGCAAAGATCCAGCTTCTCCATCTTTCCCCAAAACCCATTGAATATCCAAATTCTAATCTGATTAGAAAATTCAAATCTTGATGATTCGAATTTGAATCTGATTAGAAAATTCGATATCAAAATTCTATTCGATATGCGATGGATATTGAAAATCAAGGTTTGAACTCGAATTCAACCCATTAATTATTTTAGGTGATTAATAAATATATAAAATAAATGTTTTATTTATACAAGTATATAAATATATAAGTTACTTATATAATTTAATTATTATATATAAATTATATAAAATATTTAAATATTTTATACATTATATATAAGAATTAAAAAATCGATTGAATTTATCGAATCGAATCAGGTCATATACGAATTTGTTATGATTAGTTAAACGGTATGAATAGGATATCAGAATTTGATCAATTATAATATTCGAATTATCCAAATTCAATTTGATTATGTTGAATCACGTATTTGAAATCAGATTTTTGAATAAAATTGACACCCCTAAGCACAGGGTATTTTCGTATGGTCAAGTATATCCATGGGTGACAATAAGCAGGTGTTGAGGTATCAGGCCCTTTAAGTTTCTTACCTATGAAAAAAACTTTGAGGTGACAAGTGGCTGATAGGATGTCAAATTCATAGGAGATTACTAGCTTCTAAAGAAAAACCTAAGCCGTTGGTATGCTTTCTGTTGTAGTGATGAATGATGAAATGAAATGAAAGTTTACTTTGCTTTTTGTGGTTTACCATATTGGTACAATTCTACCCTTTCGAAGACAGTGAGGAATTATAGATGTGATACAAAATGTTTAGCTTTTTTTTGTGGTGCCAGGTTGGTACAACTCTAATTGATCTAATATTAAACTGATGCCAAAGTTACTAATCCAAAAAAAAAACTAATGCCAAAGTTGTACCCCCCCCCCCCCTTCAGCTAATATTATGCACCTTCATTCTTCTTAATACAAAAGATCGTTATTGAAAAAAAAAGAAAGATGAGATCCCCCTTCCTCTTCTTCCTTCACCCCTCCTAGGCATGCACTCACAAGGTGATTTACTTTTAAATTTGCTAATTAGCATATTTGAGAGTCTAAGGGATGTGTCTATTACAACTTCCCTGGGAAATAATTAACTTTTCAATCCCCTTCCACCTTCCCCTGTTTATATCCCAAATGTTTTTTTTATAGGAAACGGTAACTTTCATTAATAATAATAGTTAAAGGTTACAATTGTCACCATCCAAGGATGTGTCTATTGCAACTTTCAATCTAACAAGCAAGCCCAAAACAACTCCTACCTATTTACTCTTTGCTTAGATAAAGCATCAACCATTCCATTTGCAGATCCTCTTGCCCACTTAAACTGCACCCCTATCTCCCTTGAAAAGGCTCAAAATTTCTCTTGGTTGTCTAAAAACCCATGTGTCCAAGATTCTTATTTGCATCCAACCTATTACCAGTTTGGAATCTCCCTCCACTTCTAATTGTTGCATTCCCTATTGCTTTGCCAGTCTGAGACCTTGGAGTAAAGCGAAAAATTTTCCCCTTAAGGAGTCCCCCACTCCTACTGGGCCTAAGTAAAGGACCAATACTCTACCCTTCTCATTTCTGAAGACACCCCCTATTTCTGAGGGGCCTGGGTTGCCTAGAGAGCTACCATCAAAATTCAGTTTCACTTTGAAGCAAAGCGGTGAGAAAAAGATGAGGAACCAGCTATGGCACTCCACCCCCTAGTGAAATCAGTAAAAGAAAAGTCTTTGAAGAGTTCCAAAGCTTTCAGCCAATGTATAATCTTGATGGCAACGTCATCAACAAGTGCTTCCTTAGATCTTTCTTGTCCTTTGCATATCCTATTATTTCTCTCCTCCCACACCAACCAAATGACAGTTGCTCTTGTTGTTTTCCACACCACACCCTACCTCTCTTCTTTGGTAATTAGAAGAAGCTCTAGAGTCAAAAAGGTTCTGCACACACAAGGGAGGAGTCCACCAACAACCAAAGAGAGAGAAGAACCAATCCCAAATAAAAGAAACACAAGGACATAATATTAATAGGTGAGCCACTACCTCACCACTCCTCGAGCAAAGGCAACAGACGTGGGGAAAGGCACAAGTTTGGCCTTTTTCTTTGAAGCATGTCTATAGTATTGACCTTTTGAAGAACCACTTCCCAACAGAAACCCCTAACCTTTGGTGGAACAGGAGTACACCACACTTGCTTAGTAGGAAAAGGGGCAGGGACAATATCAGAATGAAGTAAAGCATTGAAAAATGAAGAGCAAGAAAAGAATCCTGAGGAGGACTCTGACCAAACTCTATTATCTAGGCAAGACTGGTCTAGATAGACAAAACTCAAGAGAGAAAACAGCTCATCTACAAAGGTCACTTCTGAGCCCCTCAACCCTCTCCTCAGTCCCAAATCCCAAGAACCATCATTCACACGGAAAGAGGAAATAAACTTAAACTTATTTAAAGAGAGTGCATAACCAAGAACCTATCCTTAAGGGGAATGTTCTCAACCCAAGTATCCCCCTAAAACAAAATTTTGGCACCCGAGCAAGCATCATACGTGATGAAAGGTTGAAAAGCAGGTAGGACTCCAACAATGGCTTTCTACGGGGAGAACTGAGAAGCCCTTGGGTCAATACCAGCATCTGATCCATTTGTTGTCTATAACCCAACTGTTTCGCTAATCTTAGACCCTACAGCAACGCCATCAGTTCTGCTTTTAAAGAGTTTCCCATTCCAATAGGCCCTGAATATAGTGCTAATATTCTACTTTGGGAGTTCCCTGAATACACCTCCTATTATTCCTGCCATGCCCCGGGTTTCTAAAAGAGTTCCCATCAAAGTTTAGTTTTACTTTTACCCTATTGCCTTCTGGAGGTTTCCAAACCATCCCTGTCCTGTCCTTTACTCTAGAAGATTGTGCCACCTCAGTCCAGTTCTTATTATTTCATTTACAAAGAAGTTTTGAAAGCTTTCCAAGGTTTTCACCCAATGTGCAGTCTTTATCTTTATGTTGTCTATTACATCCCCCAAAGACCTATTCTTTCCCTTGAAGACTCTTCCATTGCCCTCTTCCCAAACAACCCAGACTATTGCTACCTTTACTACTCTCCATAAAATCCTCCCTCTTTTCTTTGGTTGCCTCGAAAAGTTAGAACTGAAGATACCAACCACATCTTGAGGAGGATCCCACTTGCAACCAAAGAGAGAACAGAAATATTCCTAGATGCAATGCACAAAAAGGCAAGAGATTAATAGATGGGGTAGAGTTTCACCACTAACCCTGCATAAGAAGCACATACGAGGAGAAAGACAAGAGTTAGGCCTTCTTTTTTGCAGTAAATCACAAGTATTAATTTCCCAAGGAAATTTTCCCAGCAGGAAGCTTGAATATTAGGTGGAAATAGGCAAGGTAAGGTTTCTGAAAAAAGGAGGAACAGGTGAAAAGACCATCAGCACAGACTATCCAAATCCTAGTATCCTCAAAGTTTTGATCCAAGACCATTGTCTCTAAAAGACCAAGCAATTGGATAAGAGGGGTATATTGACTTTCCCTTAGACCTTTTCTGAAGCCTAGGTCCCAATTTACCCCTTGGGGGGTAGGTGTTCCCAGTCTTGAGACAATTTCACCTTTAAGGTTTAAGAGGGCATAAAGCTCAGGGAACTGTGTTTTAAGTGGAGATTCCCCTAGCCAAAGGTCTTCCCAAAAGTGAACTTTATCATCCCTTCCCACATCAAATCAGATGGAATTGAAAAAAGAAGGGTAAGATCATGAATAGCTTTCCAAGAGGAGGCTGAAATTGAAAGGGAGAAATCTTTGCATCCCAGTCATTTCTTTCCAGCCCATGAATGCTCTCAATTAACTTGTGCCAAAGTCTATCTCTTTCAAAGGGAAACCTCCACAATCATTTGCCTAGTAGTGTAGTATTCCTAAGAACAATGTTCCTTATCCCTAGTCCACCTTTGTCTTTAGGTTTGGTAACTTGTTCCCATTTAACTAGGTAATCCTTCTTTCCCTATCCTGGTTCCCACAGGAAATCCCTCATATATTTCTAATTGCCTTGCAATCCTAGTTGGGGTACAAAAGGTAGACAAGAAGTAAACAGGAAGATTCACCAATGTTGCTCTAATCAAAGTTATTATGCCTGATGCCTCCCAAAGATATGTAACTCCTTTTCCAAAACTTTTTTGCAAATCTTTCCACCACCAGCTTCCAGAAAGGGGAAAACCAAGTTTAGTAAGACTCTAATAACATCATAAATAAAAGGATAAAAGAATCTATTTCATTAAAAAAAAAACTGAAAATTCTTAAAACTATGGTTTTCTAGGTTCAGTTATGGAATCAAATTTGAAAGGATCGATGGTAAATTGATGATGACAACTCATAGATGCAACCTATTGATGGCAATCAAAGAAGGTTGAGCACATAAACATGAAAATTCTGGGTTGTAAGAAAACTGGGAGAATTTTGAAAAATACAGTAAGGATTGAGATTTTCAGAAATTATTTTTAGGATTGGGCTTTTATCCAACCTAAAGTGGGGTTATAAAGAGAGAAGATTTTCTCAAGAAGAACCTGGTGAAAGAATGAAACTTGAGAATTTAGCTATGAGGACTTCCTGAACAAATTTTTACCTCTAGTGATGCTAAATGCACTCTTGTTATGAAGAACATGTTGACTGCTGGTAGTTTTAATGGCTATTTGCAGAATCAAAGAGACAGGGGAGATAAAACAGGGAATTACTCAACAGGGAACTGGAACTACTCACTCACCACTCCAGGGCATTGGAATCACTTGTTGCTTATGCACAATGCCATAAAAACTCAAAAATAAAGCAATTCATCCTTTATCCACATTTTGGTACTCAAAAACATAAATATACTCCCCTAAGGTGGCCAATCATACTATAACTAAGAAAAACTGATTACAGAATTGCTACAACCATACTCTGAACTAAAGAAAAGTCAACAATTCCCAAATTACTCATCCAATAATTATGAAAGTTGAAATATAAACTAATTATGACAGCTACCAAAAAAAGTTAAACTAATTATGACTAAACTAATCATAGTCGACCCCCCCCCCAAAAAAAAAGAAAACAAAAATACCTCTACTGTCTAAAAAGTATGAAATACACAAGTTCAGAAAATCTTATATTCTTACGTTATTATCTCTCTCTCTTTATTGTTGATTTCCTAATTCAGCATCATTGAAACATAGTTCAGCAATCTCTTTTTCACTTGCAATCTTCAAATAGCCTCTAAGACCCATCTCTAGAAACCAGAAAAGGAAGCCTACCATGTGCTACACCAAGAGGCTTGCAGAGCATTTTTGGGTTCACAACTAGATTGCCACATGGTAAATTCCTTGGTCATTTAGACTTCTTCACTAAATGAGATGAATATAGAAAAAGATTTTCTTATCGGTCAAGCAGGGAATTTCTCTGCATAATGTTCTTTATTTTATCCATTTTATCCATTTTATCCATGTGGAGGTATCTTGTGTCAATCCAACAATTCATTAGATAAGGCACCCTCAGGATTGGTTATGTGTTGAATCATGTAGACCATCACCCCCCCCCTTTTTTTGAAAAAGATGGTAACTTTATTAATGAAACAGGAGGTACATAAGAAGATGTACACAGAATGACAGAAATTGCAACTCAAAGGTCAAGTAGGAAGAAAGCTATCACTAAACAAAAAATCTCTGTGAGCACCAGCTTTCGCTAGGCCATCTGCAGCAGAGTTCAGCTCCCTAGGGATCCAACCCAAGTGTGCATTTAAGTTAGAGAGGATATCTCTAGCTTCAGCCAAGAAATGAGCTAAAGCCCATGGACCACTGCCAGGGTCAGCTAGCCACTTGATGGTATTTGCCGAATCTCCTTTTATGAGAATGTTCTGATAGCCCAGATCTCTTGCAATCCTGATTCCAGTTAGTGCTGCCATGGTTTCAGCCTTTGTTGAAGAGACTATCCCAATCGGTCCACTGAAAACCTAATTAACTGTACCAACTCTTCTGAAGATTCCACCAATTCCTGCTGCACCTGGGTTTCCAAACGCACTTCCATCAATGTACATGGTTATCTCCCCTTCCACAACAGAAGAGTGGGGGAGGGGTGATTAAGGACTGATTATTAGATTGGGATTTCGTTCTATTAACCCTCTGATCCTTTTAATGTCTTGGTTTAAAAGTTGTCCATAAAAGAGCATTTACCGAACAAATGGCAAGGTAATTTATGATTAAATATTTTCCATGAATCTAGGATGAGAATAGGAATATGGGGACTCCTTTTCAACCTCAAATAACTTGCCAAGTAGAAATTCCCTAGCTTGTTTAGACTCCTTGACTAAACAAACCAACTGTTTGGATTACTACATGGACTAAAATCTGCTAAGCAATTTGGATTCCACAACTTGGAGGTCAAAGGGGACTCTCAGGTGGTCATTTCTTGGACAAGGTGCAGTACCCAAATCCCATGGATCTATAGGCACACAATTCAGGAAATTTAAAGTATTACAAGGGAGTTGAATGTTGCTTTTAAATGGGTGAGAAGAACAGCAAATGGGATGGTAGATACTCTAGCTAAACAAGGGGCTGTTAAGCATCAAATGTTTTGGGCAAACTTGAAAAGTTATTGTTTGGGATGGAGAAATCTCCCACCCTGTTGTAATCTTCAAGTTTGATTTTAATAAAATCTTCTCTTAATGATCAAAAACATATATCAACTCCCTGTACAATCCGGTTATATAAACCTTAGCAGCAGAAATCGTGAATTCACTGTAAATTATCGTACGTACTTCATTGTGCACTTAGGTAAAGCATGGGAAGCTAAATATCAGGAATAGAAACAGCAAAACAATAATGTCATAGATATAAGCTAAGCAGGTAAAACTTAGAAACTCTACACAGCAAAAAACAGTCAGAATCTTGTTCTTAGTTCTTACCCACATCTGAACAGGTTGACTAAAATGAATTTCAGCAAGATATTCCATTTCCGGATCTGCTCTGAGCCATAATAAGGGAGATTCCGCACTGCACAAAGATAACTGTTTTATACTCATGCATAACAGAATAGTTAAAGAATATCTAGAATTAGAAAAAGTAACTGGGCCCTGAAAACAAGATGGCATACCTAGAGCGCATATCCATGGTAGGAGCAGCATCAGCATTATCATCAGAACCATCAGGTTTAGAACCTTTTTTAGGCTTCGGAATGCGTCTTGCAGCAAGCTTTGAATGACATTGTATTTCCAATAGTTGCCATGTTTCTCCAGCCATTGGCAGGATTGGATGATCATACATTCCATCAAGTTCATGAACTCTGATGCTCATCATTCCAGGCCATCCAACATCACCTTCTCGGGCTTCGGAATCAGGATTACCATTAGAAACCAATGCAACTGAATCTGGAGTTGCTGTGCAACCTCGCAGAACCGCCAACTCAATCATATTTTTCCTTTTGTTATATGACAATCCCATCCTTAAGAACAATGAAGAACAATAGAAGGGAAGAGGAAAGAGAATTAACACATATGAAATTAGTAACAGTTGCCACAAATTCAAGAAGCATAGGAAGGAGTAAAATGTAGCTAACTGAAATCAACCTCAGTACTGGACATCCACAGGACCCCACCCAACGAGGGAAAAATTCTTTTAAGAAGGGACGTTCAAGATTGCCAACTTTATTGGCAAGATGGCGGAACTGCATCTCACAATATATAATAAATGCAAAGGATGATGTCAGATATAACAATGCATCCATATAAAAGACAAATAACTCTAATTACCAGAAAACTAGTAAGCAATGTGCGACATTTTCAACTCTACAAATAGATGTAAAGATAGAAATATATGCATACAAGAATATTAATGCTTGAGAAAATGCATTCCTAAGATCAACTTTAGTGAACCATCAATATCAAAAGACATACAATTTAACATATATGTACACAGACACTGTGTTCAATACAATGAAACTTCTTGATAAATGCAGAAATATACCTTGCGAAGGGCAAGCTTTACATTTAAATGATCACAGTCTCAATTTTAGTGGCTAAGTTTACTTCAGAAAGAGCACTTTACCTTCAATAAAGGTTTTCTAATTGGATCAGTTGTTCTTCCCTAATATAAACTACCTTATTCCTGTCATGCTGGAGGGATTATTTTGTCAATCTGAACTGTTCAGAGTCTGGGACCCTGTGGATTGGCCAAAAATTACAAAATCACCACTAAACAAAGAACGGAAGAAACTTAATTTCTTCTATGATTTCTCTCCCTTCTTTACCTCTGGAAGTCTGGATCAACCAACTACTAGACCAAACCACCCTATAAGACAATCATCCAGAATAGAAGCTCAGACAAAGAAAAATACTATTTGTACAGTTTTAATTCCTATTGTTTTTGTCATTTTAGTAATGTAAGGCCTGTTTGTTTCTCAAGGGGCATCTCACCCTTTATCTTTAATGAAAGGGTAAATTGAAGAAAGGTATCCTGTACTTTGGGGTAGTCTCACTTTAGGGCATGAACTTCAAATGTGCCACTTTGGTATCTGAACTTTCAGCAACATACATAAGTCCAACTCCTTTAAACTAACATTACAATGAGAGGTAAAACTATGAAAATACCCATGTACTATTCATCTTCTTCCACCATTGAACTTCAGATGCAAACCAATGGCAGCAAAGTAAGCTCACCCTAGTCTTTTCCAGGGAGATCGCCTCACTTTCGGACATTTAATTTGCTGCCGCTGGTTTGTGCCCGAAGTCCAAAGGTAGAAAAAGATTAACGGTGAAAATATCCCATTGGCCATCACTATATTGGGTTGGCTACATGATTTATCCCAACCCTATTGGGTCGGCTACATGATTCCCATTTCGCTAATCCATTCTATTTAAGGCCATATCAACTGTTGTAAGTACAACCTGTTATACTTACATTCTAAATAAATGACATAAAGAAGAATTAGAGTAAACAAGAGTAATGTTTGTAAAGCAAGATATAAGCACGTAAAATTCTATAGCCCCCATAATGGAAAGATAGGCTTCTGTATCATGCATCGTAAGGCAATGGAACATAAAGAAGAAGATTTGAGACACAAATTCTACCAGCTATTGAGAAAAGAAAATAGAAATTCACACAAGCAATAAAACAAATACCTTGGAAAATAACAACCATGTAATAAGAAAAAACATGCATGCAAACAAAGCACAGTACATGACATATAGAAAAAGACTATATATCAAGAAAGAAAAATGTTGAGAATTTAATTTAATAGGATAAAATACCTCCTTTGTACTAAGAGTTCTCAAGGAACGAGTCATATCTTGAGCCCTAAAAATTATTATCTGCAGTATCTGGATAGTGGGAAGAAACCAAACAGAAAGAAGTTAGATGCTAGAATTCCACCAATCCATAAACAACACATACAAACAGGCAGGTCATTTTTACAGAAAAACTCTTGCACTGAAACAAGGTGTTCAAGGATCATGCAAGGTAGCAACTGATGCAGAACAGGTACAATCCAACAATTGTATGTAATGCCTTTTTTCTCTTTCTTTTTCTTTTTTTTTTTTTTTTGTGGATCTTAGAGATTTATCATAAGAAGGTGAGAATTGACCTAGAATAGGTCAATGCACACTGTCAAAATCTCCTTGGAAAGAAACTTTGACCTTACTTCCCACCTTCACGCAATACGTAAGGTATGATGATATCCATCTCTGGCGCTAAGGCGAAGTTTTGGGAAGATACTTGGTGAGGAAATTCTATCTGTCTCCAAACCTTTCCTAGAAAAATACAAGATTTCCAACCTCAAAAACAAACTAATGCTGAAATGGTGTCATTGGATGGAAGAGGATTGGTTTGGATTTGAGCTTGAAAAGGGCTTTGAGGAACCTAGAAATGAGTGACATGGTTTCTTTACTTGACACACTTCAAGGGGTGCAATTGCTTCCTACAGCATTTGATGAGAGAGTATCGATACCAAATGTCAATGAGATATTTTCTTGTGAATCCTTTTTTCAATCCCCTCAACATTCAAATAAGGTAAATCCATTCCCAATTAAAGAACTGTGTTGTGGTCCTATTCCCCCAAGGTGAAGGTTTTTTGTTGGGAAGATGCCAATCAAATCATAAACACCCTTAAGACTCCAAAGGAAGCAGAAAGACTGGTGCCTCTCACCCCATTTGTGCCTTCTCTGCTAGAGAAGTGAGGAAAACACCAACCATCTCCTTTTTGCATTGTACCTTTGCCACTCAAGTGTGGAAACATTTTTTTCTTTAGCTGGATGTGGTTGGGTGGCTCCAACTGAAGTCTTGGACTTGTTTGACTCTTATACCAAAAAAAGGACTTGTTAACTCAAGTAGGATGAGATGTACTATCCAGAGATTAAACTCAACTTTGATGAGCTGTCTTGTAAATCCAGGAGCATCAGGTGTTGGGGGAGTTATTAGGGACTACAATGGCAATATTTTACTGAGTTATTCTGGCACAATTGGTTTTCATAACTCTCTAGGGCTGAACTGCATGCTCTGATTCAGGCATTAAAATTGATAATCTTTAAGGGTATGAAGGATAGAGGTAGGGGGAGATTGTCAAATCATAATCAATTGGGTGAGAACTCAGGATATGATCCCCGGAAATTTCAGACTGATAGTGAGACTAGCACAATCTCTAGCTGCCAATTTGAATAGCTCATTCAATTGGGTACTTATTCTTTAGATCGGACCAAGGTTCAACATTTCGATACATATTGTATCAGTGGCCTCCCGATACGCCTCTACAGGGGGTGTTTCGGGGTGTGACCTAATTCAGGGGGTAGACGGGCCTTAAACTGACCCCTCTGAATCAGTTTGAAAAAAAAATAAACTAAAAATCTAAAAGCAAGCAAAGATACAGGCTGATACGCCAGTTGGGGCATATCAGCCTGTATCGATATTTCGAACCTTGGTTCAGACAGGAGTGGAAAGAGAACAACTAGGATAGGGTTGCTCTGGGCCAGATTTTAATCTATAATTGCTTTCTTTTTCCTGCTAGTTTGGGCTCTTTCATGATAGGGGCTAGCTAGCTTTATACCATTGACCTGCTGCCCACCTTGGTGAAAGTTTGATATTTCAATATTAATTAAAATTTTCAGTTATTCATCAAAAAAATTACTCCAAGTTTGAAGCTAGCTGCAAATCAAGGAGACTTACTTGATGACCCAGGAATGTATAGACAGCTAATGGAAAGCTGAACTATCTAACTTTTTTTTTTCTTTGGATCAGCCTGAACTATCTAACTATTACTAAGCCCGAGATCTCTCATGCAGTAAGTGCAACCAGCCAGTTCACAGATTCCCCAAAGACACTACATTTAGAAGTTGCTTACCATATATTGAGGTACCTAAAAGGGTCACCCAGGTATGGGCTGTTTTATAGAGAAAGTGCTTCAGGGTTTAAATATGCTGATTGGGTTGGTTCACCATTCAACTACAAGGTATTGTACCTTTTGAAGAGAAAATCTGGTTACCTGCAAAAAATAAGAAACAAAGTGTAGTTGCATGGTAATAGAGTGCAGTGGCACACCCAACTGCTGAAACTGAGTACCGTGCTAAGGCCCATGCCACTTATGAGCTGATGTGGTTGAAGATCTTTGTAGAAGAATTTAAAACATCACTCCCCATGGATCTACATTGAGCTGTCATTCACATTGCTACAAATCCAGTTGAGAGGACTAAACATATTAAACTGCCATCTTCTTTGGAAACTTTTTGAGTAAGACAATTGCTACACCACATTTAAGTCAGGAAATCAACTTTGTGACTTGTTTTACAAATGCATTGAGTAGAATTCTGGTTACTTGATTCGTAATAAGCTAGGACTATATGACATATACTAACCAACTTGAGGGGGAGTGTTAAATTCTTCTATTAATGGTTTATAATAGGGGCAGATCCATCTAGGAAAAGTTACAAAGCAGTGGCAAAGATGCAACCTTTCTTATCTCTAAGTTGTGGTCTAGCAGCTGCCACCCATAAATAAAGCTAGAGGTCAGTAGGAAACAGATTTCTGAATTTTTTTTTGATAAGTAACAGATCATTAAAATTTATTGAAAATCATAAAGATATGCATCGTTACGAGCATCCCACAGGGAGGTGTGAGATGCAGCCTCACTGTTAGAACAGAGCTAGAACAGAATTACAATTGCACCCAATACAACTGATCCCTAATCACCCCTTGCTTAGCTAATGAATCAGCCAAAGCATTAGCCTCTCTCCCCACCCACTGTATAACTTAGTTTCATCTGCTGTGTTAACCATTGAAACTTCTTCATTTCATTTCTATAACACCAAATCACGGAGTCCAGATCTCTCAACCAACCTACCACCACCTTGGAGTCCCCTTCAATTACCAGGTTCTCCAAGTTTAAGTCTTTTGCAATCTGAACACCTTGTAACACTGTAAACAATTCAGCCTTTAAAGAGTCTCCAATCCCCACCGGTCCACACCGGCCTTGGTCTGATCTTCTGCACTGAACTAGATGCCACTGAAAACCAATTCCTCCATATATCATCAAAGGAGAACTGTCTAAAAAAATCCAGAGTTAGTAGCCAATGTATAACCCTGGTCATTACACATTCCAAAATCTGTTGTTTGCTTCTCTCATTATCTTGAAAGATTCTCGCGTTTCATTCTTCCCATAGGGTCCAAATCACTGCTGCTCTAGTACACCTCCACATTATTCTTCCCCTTCTTTTTGGCCAAGCAAAGGTATCATGGTCAAACAGATTTCTGAATCTTAGGATCTCTTCTATTCCTCTCCTATTCTTCTTGTCTCTACTTTCTCCCTCTTTTCTTCTCAGTTTTCTGCTTGTTTCAGAATAAAGTTTACACACAATACCTGAGTTCTTCAAAAGAAAAATAAATAAAGTTGTTGCCATACAAGAACATTATAGCCATTTTCACCTAAAGAAGTAGAAGGAAAAAGAACAACAACAACAAAGACTACTTTTAAAAAGCAACAAGAATTGCAAAACAATACCCTTCACCCATCAAAAGAGTAATAATCATAAGAATAGAAAAACCAACATGCCAAAATGATCTGTTTCTGGTACTCACTTTACGGAAAGACTCAGGCCCCATCTGCTTTTCCAACATTTGAAGGATTGCCACCTATGAACAAAGACAAGAAAGACGAAAATTAATTATTAACGCAATCACCATAGCAGTACAAAGTTAACATGTCTTCGTTTTTGTTAACTTAACAGATTTCCATGACCGAATTTTTCCATATAAACCCATGCATTGAGTTCCATACAAGAACGTTGAAGAAGCAGAGGAGCTCAAAGCAGTTGCACCACTAACATCTGCCTTGCAAACGGCACAATTTGCCTGCATATAACAAAAATTGGAGGAAAGAAGTATTAATTTGCAGAAGACAACTCTAAAAATTGAGGTAGGGGTCACTGCTTGGTGTAATGGTAAAATCTCAGGCTAACAAGCATGAGAACATGGGTTTAAGTTTGAAAACAGCAGCTTTGTGCAAAAATGCAAAAGGTTAGTTCTGTATCTAATCCACCCCTCCTAAGACTCCAGATAGCTGGGGCCAACATGCGGTAATGGCCGTTTTAATTCTAATAACTGAGATCTGTAAATTCATTTCTTCAAGGAGTAAAAGGAGAGAGGAATGATTTAGTAAGACTATGAATTATAGTAATTTCAGATGAAAACAGGGTAAATAATGCAATTCCGTAACTTAGACAATAAAATGAAGTTCCAGTCTAAATTATATGGCACATAATAATAGTGAGAAGCAAAATGAAAGAAATATCTTATGTGCTTTCCCTTACTGAAGGGAAATAGGCAGGAAGAAGGGGGAGGGAGGGGGGATTTGTCATCCTCATTGACTCCATACCCATTCCCTTGAGCTTCTCAAACAGTTTCCATTATCCATAAGAATTAAGCAATTTCACACCCTTATTTGGAGTTGGCAGTTACAGAGTGTAGCAAGCAACATAGGCACAACTTGCTGCAAACCAAAGATAATATAAGGCTCAAATCTGTGGAGCATGTGAAATACTAAAACAAAAGGCATCAAACCTTGTATCTACGATAGCGAGCCTCATTATTTCCAAGAAAACGCTTAATAAATGAATCAGTAAGAAAACCAGCAAGGCCATCCAACAACCATTCTGGGGGAAAAAAAAAAGTCAACCACATAAGGTAAATAACCTTTCTTCAATTTTAAATATAAATTCACAACCATAACAAAATCTAAAATATAGTAATATACCATGCAATGCAAATGGAAAAGTGGACATTTTTACCAGCTTACCATCATTTGGTGCCTCAGCAGTGATGTACACCCCAAACCACTGTCTTGCAAGTGCATAAGCAAGTTTTATCCTTGTATCTATAGTCTGTTTCAACAGGTTGCAAACTAATGTTACAAAAAAAAACTTTCATCCGGATAGGGAAAATTTATCTTTTTTTTCAAAAAGAAATGCAACAGAAAAACTCTAGTTATAGGGTAAATTTGCACTGACATGCAAAACTTGGAAAACAAAACATTCAATGTAATTTCCCTTGTAACCATTAATAGATAAACCAGGAACATGAACAAGATTCTTTGAAGGGGGGGGGAGCAGAGGTAACTTGCTGTTGAGATAAAATCATTTTGAATGTAGGTTTTTCTTATATTTTTTTAATTTTTTTGGAAGCAAACTGGTTTTGTAAAAAAATTGCTACAACCTGGATACAAGAAATTACACAGTCAATATGTTGGAAAAAGACATACAATGAGTATGACAAAAGAGAAAAAACAAGGATGGTGAGAACTGGTAACAAGAATCGTAATGGTGGACTCTGATGGTGATGAACAACAGTGATAAAAGTAAGAAGCAGTGACAAGAATTGCAATGGTGGACTCTGAAATATGGATATCAAGTGAATCATTTAGGTTTTCTTCTCTAGAGAACCTACTGTAACTCCACCAAACAAACTTTGGTTTTATACATTGGCAAAGAAGACTGCCAGTTTTTTTGGGTAAAAGCTATGCCAGTTACTGTTTTGGGGAGTTGTAGGACAGGAAAGAGGATGATGATTTCAAAGAAAACTCCTAGAGAGTAGAATATTGACTAAACCTTCAGTGGCCAGAGAGAAGCGAACAAAAGACCGAGAAGGATAACACAAAAAGTAGCAAAGGTAGAGGTCAAAGAGAGAGTAAGATGCTAAGGGGCATTATATAGTTGAGTCCGTTCTTTTCATTCCTATTAAAGAGTTCCATAGGGTTAGTGCCTTTTGGCATCAAAATTTCTTAGGCCATCTCATGTAAGATTTTATTTCAGATTTAAAGCAAACACTAATATAACTAGATTGAATTACTTGCACCCCCCCCCCAAAAAAAAAAAAAAGTTACAATATAAAATGGTATAGAAGATGTTGAATGCAGAAAAGATAATCTATTTAAACCAATTATTAACACAGTGCTTTACCTTCAAAAAAAATTATTAACCACCATGACCACTAAAATAATTAAGCATTTCTCTTTTTATCATTATATTAAAGCATTTTAACATTTCCATTCTCCAACATTATATATGTTTACAATGTGAGTTCAATGTCTTGGTTCTATTCACAAGGCCAGAAACAACAGTAATAAAATTATCAAAAATGTCGGCTGAAGAAAATTGGCAAACCTGATCGATAACCTTCTCATCAAACAGAACTTGAGAACTAAAGACGCTCATGGAGGCTCCCAAACTCAAAGAGGATACTGCTATTTCAGGTGCAATAAAGACTTGCTTATATGACCCAAAAGGAAAAGATGCTGAAAGGTAGTCCTCGTAATGACTGTAAATTGGGGAAAAAAGACGAAGCTTTTTAAGACATCTAAAGAAATAAACATAGCTTTGATATAAAACAAAACCGCTTTGTAAGTCATCAAGTACCCAAAGGCATAGAAAATTAAAGGGTTATATGAATGGGAAGGCAAACCTGAATGCACTGTGGAAAAACCCAACTGTATTCCGAAGCTTTGGAAGGTTAAGAGGCATGCACATGTGTGATAGAATACCACTATGGCGGTCAGGAAGAATATCAAATGCTGCTACTGCCAGGGATATCCACCCAGCAGCAACTGGAACACTCAATCTGTAAACATAAGTTTTGCGGGGAGGATCATCCTTGCTCAAGACCTGCAAGAGAGGAACAATAGTTGATTACAAATATGGATGATTTATCTGTGCAAACAATTCTATAAGAGTATGTATTTTGCATCACTCAATTGCATAGGTTCCAAATATGAGATGTAAGATGGTAAATCTCAGATAGTGAAGGTCAAAAGATAGAATAATTAATTATTGTACCCTATAACATTATTAGTAGAATGATCCAAAGAAAATCAGTTGAAATTTAATACTGAGGGTATTTCTTCAGGTAAAGTGTCAACTTGAGAGTGAAGTTGCCTTAAAGAGCCTTGGGATGTTTCTATGTCCTCGCCACATATCCAATATGAGAATAAGCAGTTGCATTTTCTTTTGAGATGATTCCTTCAGTACTTCTTCAATATTTTTGAACTTACGAATAAGAAACTGAAAGATATTTTTTTTCTGTTCAGAGAGAGAAAAGAACCTTCAAAGTCATGTTTTGTCCATTTCAGTGATCGCAAGATTTTTTTTTTCTTTTTTCCCTTTTTCTTAAGGGGTAAAGCACAAATTCTTTAACCGGTAATAGTCAAAGTTTTATTGGTAGTTGGTTATGGTAAAAGAATTGTAAGCATACAAATATAGTGTACACCTAGCACCCCTAATATGGAACTAGGCTAGTAATCAACAACTAGCCCTCAACATTCTTCATTACACCCTTCCACTTCAGAAATCAATAACATCTCCTGTTACCAATCAAAAAATAAAAATAAAAATAAAATCTTAGTTACACCCTAACCCCTTTACAGAGAATACTTCCCCAATAAGACTATTTCTTTGCAATCCTTGTCTAACCATTGCATCAGCTGTGCCATTAGCCGATATTGGAACCCATATAACTTTCACATCCATCATTTCTGTCAGCCTTCTCACTTCTTTGATATCAAATATGCCAATGTTGTCAAGAAACTTAACTTTTATTATTAATCCAACCCACCACCACAGGAGTGTCCTATCACTATCTTTCTATAGTTGAAAGCATTCTCCAATTTCAGTCTTTGTAGCAATGTTAAACATATCTGCCCTTGTTGTTTTTTTTTTTTTTTGATGGGAAAAAATCAACAAGGGCAGATATTGTTTAATGGTAATAATTAACATATCTGCCCTTGTTGAATCCCCTATGCCAATTGGCAATGAGAATAATGGTAATAATTTGTCCCAAGTAACTCTTGAAAGCTCTATTCCTGATTTTCATGGGTTGCCCATGCTACACCTATCAAAGTTTAACTTTATAATGTTAGAGGATGGAGGAAACCAGCCTATATTAATGGTGTTCCTTAGCATCAAGGAAGCTGCAATGATCTACCATCCTCTAAAGATGTCATCCATTGCATATGGCTCAAAGCAATCCAATTTTTTTCACCAAATGGACCACTTTAATTGCTATGCCTTCAATCAAGCCTCCAAGATTTGTCATACCTCTGCAGTTTGACTTATCCATCATACCTCTGCAATTTGGCATATAATAAAATTTCTCTTGTATTCAAAAAAAAAAATAAAAGAAAAAGAATACTGGGCTGAGAAGCATGAGAATGCCAGAAGTCTGAGAGAGGCCGCTTTGTGCAAAAAACATACCAACAATGAAAAAGAAGAAAAATGAAAAAGATGACAAAGTCTGATAAGAGCTACTTTGTACCAAAAAACGCAGGTTGGGACAAATTCTGGATGAGCTTGTTCAAAAAAGAAAGAAAGAAAGAATAAATTCTTATAACCAGATTGAATCACATTGTCAAAATAAATTAAAAAAAAATGTTTCCTGGAACAAATAGAAGGTATTGTACTCCTAAAGAAATGAATGGGATGGAATGGATGGGAGGAGAAGAGATGAAGGGGACCACTGAACAAATTGTTGGTTGTGAGATTGGCCTTGCAGCTTTCTGTAAGGTTGGGATTTCACCTCATTTGACTATATTGAGCTCCTTGCATTTTTCTTCTTTTCTTCTCGTGTCTCTTTATCAGTTTTCCTGACTTCAAATCACTTTTCAATGAAGTGTTTATCACAATCAGGGAAAAAACAGTTTGATGGATCCTATTTTATTGACTGTTCAAGTAAGGTTCAAGTATAAAAGCATAGGGACACACTTGTGCTTTTATATTCTACAAGATAATTATCTCTTGAAAGATAAATATCAGACTTCCATATCTAATCTCTTAGTTATTCTGCCAGCAACCAGATCAATTACTGGACAGTAATTCTAGAGGTAGCAAATGGAACCCTTTAGAAGAAAAGGGAATTCAAATAATAAACATTTACAGGCAAAACAAAAATTCTCTACTGCTCTCACCTGATAAAGTAAATTTCCATTGCTGACAGCAACGAGATTGTTGGCAACAGTAAATTCCATATCATAGCTGGATGATGAAAGTAGTTACTAATACAAATCTCAAGAGAAAACATGCAATCAAAATGATCGAAACAACTGGCCTATAAATGAATATGGTCAAATTGCTCTTACCAGCAACGCTGAGAATTGTCGTCCATACAAGGGAACCAGCAATGTGCACGCCTCAACTGATTATTGGTATGGAGCATATTATTCCTAAAATGAATTCCCGTTTCTGCTTTCTCCACCCAATAATCAATGCGAATCAATTTCAAATTCTGCACCCAATACCAACCTACATGAGAAACCACAGAAGTATAAACTTCATAACAACAACAACCAACAAAAGAAAACAATATCAGCTCTTGCACTGCATCACAACTTTAGCATTTGAGAACCTGCTTGAGCTCGCCAGATGTTTGCAAGTTGTTCCCGCCATTTGGTTGCTCCTGCTGATCACTTGTTGGGTTTACTGGTTTACTACACAGAATTAGCAGGTTTGGAGCCATTTCTCTGTCGAGAGACGAAATGTAAGTCGCACAAGCAGCATCAGCGGCAGTACTAGCCGATGAAACCGAGCACCACCTTCTCTCATCTTCCACTGCCTGATAGTGTGGAAACAATTCGAACTCGGCTGGTTCCCCATCCACCAGAATATTCTCAATATTCAAGTCATCGGCGTGCAGTCCAACAATTCCACTCTCCGGAACAGAAACTTTCAATTCCGTATACCTAAAAACAGTGTTGAACGTCTACTATCACATAACAGAAAACGCAAAACTACATAGAAAAATGCACAAAATGAAAGCGATAACTAAATTTCGTGCGATTTTCGAGACTATACTAATGAAGAAACTGCCATTGCTAACTAGCCTGTACACACACACACACAGATTGGCAAGATGGCTTCGGGTTACCCATATATCCGGCAATTTTCCATGTCGATAGAGAGGCAGAGCTTCTGATGTCGAACGACTGCCCCTGAATTCTCTGCCTTTTGGTCTTCATTCTTCGGCTTGCGAGGCTTCGCCATTTTTACCCTGGCTGGCACCTACAGACCTCGCGGGCCGAGTTGGCATGAAAAGACTCGGCAGCTCAGGGCGCGAGCTGATGTTGCTGAGCCTTATTTATAGAGGATGATTTCTGCCTTCAGCCTTCTCTCAAGGGCGTGACCAGTCTCCTTGGGGGAAGGAGACCTCCCTTTTCTGTAATCTCGGTTGTTCGTACGCCCTAGAGTTGTCTCCCTGATCTAAGTCGTCTATAGTTAGAGCTCCGATGTCATTGTGTCTTAACCAACGGTTTGGATTTGTTTCACAACTTCACCACCGTATCACAGGAACTGAGAATCATTTGGCATCCAATGGACACTTCTACCCCCATTTTTGGAAACCTTTGCCCGGTCAGCAATTCACACAAACCCGCAATAAGCTGATGCTTCATACCGTAAACGGATATGGGTAGATCTATACTTTTGATACGTTTAGTCGGATCTTGTCCGTCAGGTACATATCCTGTTCGAATCAATTTCAGATTGCAGTCTAACAAAAAATATATTTTTTATATTAGTAAATAAATAAATAAATAATGTTAAAATATTTTTTAACATTATTAGTAAAATAAATATATTAGTATGAAATACATTAGTAAAATAAATAAATAATGTTAAAATATTTTTTAACATTATTAGTAAAATAAATATATTAGTATGAAATACATTAGTAAAATAAATAAATAATGTTAAAATATATATTTATTATTATTAATCTAACAAAAAAAAATTTATATAGGCTTAGGGCTGCTCATTTGCTCTTAAGTCAGATATCTGAAAATAATTAAATATCTATTTTGACCCCATATATGAGAATTTTTGTTTGTCTTTTTTAGATATATCATTAGAAAACTGTATAATTGCACTTTAAGAGATATTAGATAAGAGGAAATAACAACCATTTATCTCTTAAAGTTAAAAGATTCCTCTTAAGATATAAGAGTTAAGAGGAAACCAACATGCCCTTAGTTTGGAAAGAGTACAATACAAATATAATGTTTAGAAAGACAAAATACAATCACTTGTACTGTACATATTTGTATTTGTACTCTTCCCGAATTCAGCAATCAGTATAAAGAACAAAAAAAAAAAAACTTTGATATTGCATTTCATGAATAAAATCAAATAAAAATAGGCTGAAATGGAATCACCCTTAGTGGGTATAAAATCATTGATAGATTAAAATATTAAAATATAACAAAACACTGTATTTTATAGATAAAATAAATGGTTTATTTTAGTGGTTACTAATAAATGTGATAGCTTGAATGAGACTAGGGTCGTTTGACAACAAGTGAAATAGTTAGATCAAATGGCTTTTTTTTTTTTTGCTTTGTCTTTTAGGCTTGGTTTGGAAGAAGTACAAATACAAATATGTAGAGTGCAATGTCTTATATTGTATATTCTTTTGTATACATTTATATATATATTTGTATTTGTACTCTTTTCAAACTAAACTTTATTTATAATGGACATTGGACAAGCATCGGCTTAGCTAGCTATAAATGTTATAGTGCCAGCTATTCTGGCAGTTACGAGGATTACAAGGCATGGACAACAACTAAAAAACACTAAAGGATTCAATCATCAATATATGATGCCCCCACACTGAAGTAGTCATATTAATCTTAGAATGTGCTAATGGAAAAAAAGTAATAGTTTTTCAGATAATATGGATCCCCAACAGATGAACTAGAACCTCCAATTTGCATTTTGCCCCACTTAGTAGACGAATTCTTATATCCTTAAAGAATTATTTTTCCTACACGCATTTGCTCGTTTTCATTGACGGAAAAAAGAAGAATTTCCAAGTGTCCAGGAACCTAAATTTCCATTAGATACTTTACTAAGCTGCTCTGTCGCAGTAATATGATCAGTCCAATAATGCTTAGAGAAGATAAAGCAGTAAAAACCTTGTATTTTGTATGTAGAGTGCAAAACAATTTTGCAATAACAGACACTGTTTGGAAGGAGTACAAATACAAATATGTAGTGCAAAAGCTTGTATTTTGACAAAGGAATCAAAATGAATGACTGGTTTGAACCACATGGGTAGCTAGAGTATGACCGAGGCGTTTAAAGCTCTTGGAATTAGTTGAAAGGTGAACCACCAGTTGAAATCCATTATTAATAATTCAATGTTTAGAATGGTCACAGTAGACACTACTTGCTTTTTTTTTTTGGTAAATAAGAAACTTAAATTCATTTAACTACAAGATGGCTAAGCACCATTATATCAATAGATGAAACCAAAGAAGACAAACAAGAAGGAGGAGGGGGAATCGATCCACTTTCCCTTACTACAAACCTAAGAAAATAGAAAATGTGCTTAACCATTTGTATCCCTTTCAAAAAAAAACACATATCAGCCCAATCAAAATGTCATCATCCAATTATTTATTCGGTTCATTCACCATACCTCTTTGTACCATATTTTTAGACCCCAAAACTTGAAAATACAACAAGGTTAATGCAATATTCATTGAACCCCAAAATTTCAGTTTTTATGGAATCGATGCGGCAAATGAAAACATTGAAATCAACATCAAACATTTGATTAAACATGATTCTTGTACTTAGGAAACAATAACTTAGTTATAAGTTAAAATTTCATCACCAAACCCTAGAGACATGTCGTTCATCACACTAAATTCCTTTATAATGATCCCAATCTACACAACATTCAAACATTGACGCAAAATCAAACCCAATACATTCATTGCCTAAATATCACTAGGATATACTCAATTCTACGATGATCAACATTAAAGATACAAAGATTCCATAAAGCAAGACGACTAAACTTCATTGCCTTAATCCATGCCTATCCACCAAAATTCATCATAAAATTCATTCATTTGACCTGCTACCAAGCTAAGATTTTGTTTCAACAAATCTTGTTGATTAGAGCATACCAGCCATAGATTTTCATCATTAAAGCTTTGTTGACCAATTAGGCCTTATCATCACCTTCAAAGCCCCGAAAAAAGCCATGTATGTTAAATTTCATGACTTAACTAATTCGTTTAACCATTAAACAAATAAGAATCCATTTTGGGTTATTTCGTTAATCTTGATCGGAATCAAATCTTTCAGTCCACACCTTTAACCAAAGACCAATCACTTCTATTATATTCAGGACATAAAAAAATGTTTATCCACCAAATTTCACCCTGAAATTCCCTTGTTTGATACTCCATTAAGCTAATGTTCCATTTCGACAAATATCATTGATTAAAGCATATCAGCCATAGATCTACACCATATTTGACCGCTCAAACCATGCTACCTTCTTCAAGAAACCTTTATACGTAAAATTTTATTGCTCAATTCACTCGTTTGACTATTAAACTATATACATTCCATTTCGATGTGCCAAATTAAATCACCACATTAGTTGTCCTAACCTAAGACCTTAAGAGGGTGGGGACTGGCTTCAATCCTTACTTGACTTGTTAAAACACATGACCCAATAAATTTAGGCCTATTAGACTTAGAAAACCCAAAAACCTAAAAGATACCCCTACTTAAAGTTAATAAAAGACAAAATAACATTTATTGTTAAGTCAAATTTACATTTTATGCCACTAACAACCCCAAATACAAGATTACAATGTCTGGAACGCCCCATGCTCTCATTGAATGCACAAAACCCGTGAAAATCAATCCCAACTCGAGGAGAATCATTTCGTTGAATAGGAAAGCTTGACTGCAAACTTTTTTCTTCTAAAAAAATCTGTACACTTTTCATGGAAAAGTTGTCTTAAAGCCCATGCTATTTAACTGGACGAGATTCAAAGCTTTTCCCCTTCATTTCTCTATAAATAAAGATCCAACTCGAATTATAGGCAAACCAGAGAGGGGAGAAACAAAAGAGATACCTCATAAGTATCTCCAACTTCTATAAAACTCACATTTGTGAGAAAATCCTAAAGCTTTTGAACCCAAAACTTCAAATTCGCCCCTCTGTTCTCAGATTGAAGATTTTGTAACCAGAAGCACTCCCTAACTCAATAGTCCATTTAAGCTTTGTTCTAACTTGTCTTAATTACTGAAAAACTCTTGTCAATGTCACACACAAGAGATAAAGCCTCTCATTCATTTTTAGCTCAAATTTGTAATTTCTAGGTTGCTTGAAGTTTTAAGACCTTAGAGAATTTGCATTATCAACTTGAGAAAAAAGAGGCAGAGAGGCGATGGTTTTAGGGAAATTAGTACCTAAGACCTAATAACATCACATTCAAATTGGTCTTACGAGAAGTTGGGGACATTTTTCTCCAGATTTCATAAATCCTAGCAATTATTTTACTAGTTTTTTGCTACATCTTAAGCCTAAAAACTCTCGTATTGGGTTGATATAGCAACTTAGAGAGAGGGGTTTCTAACACCTTCATTCTTCAAATTCTTGGAATCCAAGATCTATTGGTTAAATGCTAGAACGGAATCAATATCAAAGAAGATATATCACTTTTCAAAGCTGAAAACCTTTGAAAAATGGATGGTGACTCCATCTTTTTTAGAACCATGAGCTTCTCGGAGCTCACACAAAGTAATTGAGCTATGCTTTACCATCAGTTAAAATAAATTGCAACTTAAGGGGAAGGGGTGTACGATTTTGGATCAAACACTAAACATGGGCATAATTAAAAAAATGTATTCATGTTTTTAGTTTCAGATTCCCAACAAGTCTTACACCAACAAAAAAGAAAAGCTTAAGCTTCAGCAAAAATGGGTGATCTTGGTTCTGCAATAGAGTAGATGATAGAGCACCCAAAAATAGGCTACTGCCATAAAAAAAAAAACATTGCACCTTAATCAACATAACTTGAGGGGGAGAAAGCACCATCTACCATCTACCAACAAAACAACAAAACGTGTGTGGTTGCTTTGGGACATCACGAGAAGTTAAGATTCTTCACCATCTTGGTTAGCCTGAAACTGAGAGTTTGGCTTTGCGATACCGGATGCATCAAGCACCTGTCAACCAAGTGGTGACCGCAAAAAAAAAAAAGTGCACAAATCAATTTTCTCCCACTTTAAAATATTGGGATCACCTAGTTCAACAACAAGTCTTTAATAGCTATGTTTTCATTTAACATCAACGAAACATCAAGAGGGAATATAAAAAATTTTAATCTCACTAAAGA